CAGACTTTGTGATACAGCGCGCGTGGGAAGTTTGCCTGGACAGCAATTGAAGTTTAACTGTCAAGGGTTCTTTTACGTGCACACCCGTGTGTACAGGGGATCTAGGGGTATTTATTGCCCTGGATATCATTGTTATGCTAAAATTCGATCAAATGGTCACATATATGTATGTCTAACATCAAGGTGTCAAAGGCCCTTTATGGGGGGCGGTGGGCGGGGTTAGGGTAGTCGAATGGTCTAACACAACGAGTAGGTTTTCCCCGGGTGTTCAGGTTTCCCCCGGGTGTTCAGGTTTCCCCCGGGTGTTCAGGTTTCCCATACTGCTGAAGACCCCCCGTGTGCAAGCGAATTATTGAATTTACCATATATTTGTCCCGAAATGACCTGCTCCCTCTCTCTCTCTCTCTCTCTCTCTCTCTCTCTCTCTCTATCTCTCTCTCTCGCCCTCTCTCTCTCTCTATCTCTCTCTCTCTCGCCCTCTCTCTCTATCTCTATCTCTCTCTCTCGCCCTCTCTCTCTCTCTATCTCTCTCTCTCGCCCTCTCTCTCTCTCTATCTCTCTCTCTCTCGCCCTCTCTCTCTATCTCTATCTCTCTCTCTCGCCCTCTCTCTCTCTCTATCTCTCTCTCTCTCGCCCTCTCTCTCTCGCCCTCTCTCTCTCTCTCTCTATCTCTCTCGCCCCCTCTCTCTCTCTATCTCTCTCTCTCTCGCCCTCTCTCTCTCTCTATCTCTCTCTCTCTCTCTCGCCCTCTCTCTCTCTCGCCCTCTCTCTCTCTCTCACACTCTCTCTCTCTCTCTCTCTCTCTCTCTCTCTCGCCCTCTCATGGTTTGAAGAATGAAGAAATGAATATTGTTGGGTTTTTTAATTGTTGTAGAAAAGAATGGTACCTGGATTAAGATTAGATTGTGTTAAAAGATTAAAATTCCCCCACCTCCTTCCACCTATTAACGGCACTTCACAGATTAAAATATCACCATCTATTAAACTACGAGCGTATATTGTAGTCGAAATGAGGGCGAACCCTGTCCGTCATATCCGGGTTCATACATATTGTATTCAAAATTTCCTCTCTATGGAACTGGAGGTTGAGGCTGCATAAAGTTTCGCAGTTTGGTTTGTGTTCCTTAATGTTGATGTTCGTAGTAATTGGTGTTTTTAGTCTATATGTGCATTAAGATATATAACACCATCAACGAGCAGCACATCCTGTTGGGTTTCACAAATGCTATCTATGCTTAAATAGATCACATGAACAGATAGAGAACATGTCAACTGATTCCCGGTTCAAGTTGTGCTATTGTATTATATAATAATCAAATTGAGGTTCTATCAAGACGCTATTAGTTTATTAAAGGGAGATAACACCAACAACATTGTAGTTTTATCAACCAATAGTATTTCAACCCAACAGCCATGGTATCTGCTGAAAATCTGAACATGCATAGAGGGGCGGATTGGGGCCGGGAACCGGCCCGGGCTCCGGTGTCGGAGCGGCCCCTTTTACTGACCGCCGAGCCCGGAAAATTTTGAAAAATGAACCCCAAATATGCGATTTGATGGCATATCTGATTATAATCTCTGTCAAATTCAGCCAGCAGACCAGCTATCATCAAATTTTGCTGAGGCCTTAAAATTGAATTTTTTGGGGGAGGTACGAACCGTCGGCAGACGTTTCTGGCGTATCCCCACAAAACAGGGTGCAGGTGACTTAATAATTAGTAAATTTGCGGGCGACAGTGTCGGGTGAATCCGATGAAATTCGGAATCCCCATTGCAGGATTCCGAATTCCGGCCCACACCCAGCACAACCGGCCCAGAAAGTCTATTATACTAGCCCATTCCAGACTCCAGTGATGGCGTGGCGGCCCGTTAAAGCCACCGGTCACATACAACATGATCATCATCGCTCCATAGCCGGTCCAATACCGCCCCCCCCCCCCCCATATAATGTTCAGCAGAGAGAGAGAGATAGAGGGGGTTAACGTCCACTCGACTCAAACTAGGTCATTTCGGGACTAACACATGGTTGAATTTTTTATTTCAATACTTCGCTTGCACGTAGGGGTCTTTAGCTGTCGGAGTAAAACCAGAGGACCCGGAGGACCAGGAGAAAACTCTGATTTCTAGTTGCCGTAGCACAATTCCTAAAGATTCTATCCACGTCACAAAACTGTGCATTCTTAAATAACATTTATAAATGAAATGAAATGTGGTTTTATGGCACGTCAGCTCCAATCGGGCTATATTGCGCCAAACATATTATAACATTTATAAATCGATTCGTGAGAAAGATTATAACGACACCACGTGATGGTGTATATGACACCACGTGATTGTGTATATAACGACACCACGTGCGGGGATGTATAACACGTGATGGTGTATATAACGACACCACGTGATGGGATATTTATCGACACAACGTGGTGAGGTATATAACGACACCACGTGATTATGTATATAACGACACCACGTCCTGGTGGAGTATGGGCGTATCCCTTTTCTTGCTTTAAAAGAGCAACTTGTTAACAGAAAACATAACCCCCAGGTGAGCGGGTAGATCTATTTCACAAGGACAAACGCATAATTTCCTCACCGTCACGAGATATAAACAGGGCTAAGGTTAACCCTAACCCAAGACATAGCCCTACGCCTTACACAAATCCTAACCCACAATCATCAGCAACAATCACGTGCCCTAACCCTGTTTATATCTCGCGACCTTGTCAAATAGATTTAGCCCCAGGTGAGGTGTGTATCGTACAGGGTGAAATATCTTTAAAAAAAAAAAAAGATTTCTGTTTATTCTGATTGTTTGATTATTGTAAGTTTCGGTGGGCTGTATTACCATATAAACCATATAAGGTATACCACTGATCGACGAGAAGTGACATGGGGTTTAAAGATACATTATGGGAGATTAGACAAAGAGTTGGCAGTTCTCACTATAATAGTTAAAAACTAGATAATCTAAAGGCAATTTACTGAATATTCAATTCAAATTGATCCACTATGAACCGAGAACTAAGCGGTTGGAATTTTCGCCCAGCTTCGATCATCATTACTAAAGTCAGTACGATAAACAGCATAGTCTCGATTATCCATTTAATCGTTAAATCGAGAAGGAAAGTTATGCAGTAAATCGGCTCATAAGCCAACAAATATCTTAGGCTTGCGTTGACATCGAGACTTGATTATGGTCTGGGTAGGTTAATTAATTATTTAGATTACATATCAGGCCTAAAGAAAGACCTGTAATAATAGGCAGATTTAGCTCTTGCATAATGTATGTTTAATGTCCTACTGTTCTGCACCGACTGGGCATACACCATACAAAGTGCTATGATGGGGACATTTTGTACGGACAGCGGCACTACGGCCTACTCCATGGTTACGCCAATATGAACACGAGGGCAGAGATTTTTCTAGCCGAACGACAGACAGGGTGCGGAACAACGCCGAAAAACCTGATTAACGTTCTCGGCCAACGCACGGACCGGACCTACAGGTTAGCGAGCCAACGTCTTACTGACTAAGCCATCGCGACTCCCTTGATCAGAAAGAAAATGGCGGTCAGTATAAAACATGGCCGCTAGTCACGATTAACTGGTTTATTACACGATTATCACAGCAGTTGACAGGTCAGTAATTTCTTTATCAAACCCAACTTATCCGGATAAAACGATTTCAAGCTATGAAAATGGCTTTACTCTTTTCTTTTAAAATCCACTATTAACAGTATTCCCAGCACGCCCGCGGCTCTTTGCATTTTCAGCTTATCTCGAAAGAACATAACATTTAAAACAATGCTTTTGGCAGGAATATATTGCAGTGTCTTTTAAATCCTAAAGTTCAGCGTGGTCAGGGAATGTCCCGGCTAATGTGTGTGTGTGTGGGTGTGTGTGTTTGAGAGAGAGAGAGAGAGAGAGAGAGAGAGAGAGAGAGAGATATTTACCGTTATAGGTTATTTCGGGGTTAACATATGGTTCAATTTTATTTCAATAATTGACTTGCGCATAGGGGTCCTTAGCAGTTGGAGGAACCCGGAGGACCCGAGGTTGGACAAGCGGCCTTACTCCTTGTCACGTACAACCAGATAATCGAAACCACGCCACTTGACTCAATGAAAGACCTTATGATACAACGCGCACGCGTGAATCATTCGGCCACCCAATTATCGTTACAGGTGATACGGGTATTTAATACAATAATTAATCAACTATAATCAATATATTATAGTTTTATCCGTCATTAAGATCATGTAATAATTAATCAACTATAATATATTATAGTTTTATCCGTCATTAAGATCGTGTAATAATTATTAACGAGGTGATATCTCACTAATTAATACACGTAATATAACCTGACCAATTATAAGATAAAAACTGTCACATAATTAATACACATAATATAACCTGACCAAATATAATATAAATACGATTAACTTCACGCACTGTCACATGCTATGAGAACAGGTTTATAATGTCATACGTCAAATCAAACTTCCTGCTGTACTACATCAACCGGGATAATGAAGACTAGCATGGCTTATGACCGTCGCCATTAATTTTAATTGACTCTTAATTTTAATTGACTCTTAGTTTTAATTGACTCTTAATTTTAATTGATTCTTATTTTTTTATTCACTCTTAATTTTAATTGACTCTTAATTTTAATTGTTTACTTGACTCTTAATTTTAATTGAATCTTAATTTTAATTGACTATTAGTTTAAATTGACTCTTAATTTTAATTGTTTACTTGACTCTTAATTTTAATTGAATCTTAATTTTAATTGACTATTAGTTTTAATTAACTCTTAATTTTAATTAAATCTTCCATGGATTTCTGGTATAAACCCAAACATTGACTTATATCAAATAGAATGTACATTATCCCGCTCAGTATAGAGAAGTAGGTCGACGAGCCCCATTTCATTTCTGGTATCGCGCCAAAGTATTACTAACTGATTAAATACTTGAATACATGAGATAATATGTGGGTTTATAATGGGTGTTGATACGCATGACTGATAATTAACTGTGAGATATTACTAAAATATCTTTTAGTACAGATCAGCTACACTTCACATGTATAGATGACTTGCCGCTAACTGTATAATGTTATTCTCTCTCGGTCTAGTCTTTGTTGATCGACAGAGAGGGTTTAACTGAGATGTAACTAAAATATCTCTATCACAATACAAGATCATGTTAGACAGAGTAAAAGGATAAACCAGTCATTAGTTGAATATGGTAGAAGAGGCAAGGATTAGCCGTGTTTTCGTATCTTACATTAACAGTAAGTTGTTTAGAATGATAATAACAATGCTTTATAACGCAACTAGATTAACGGAGTACATTGTTTTAATATCGGAGACAATTATAGTTATATTCTAAAAGCACGACGTTTCGACAGGTGTCATCTTATCGTTATCAAGAATAAAACTAGTGATTGTATCCCATAAAAACCGTGTTCTGTTAATGTGTTTCCGAACACTAAATGTCACTTCAAGATTAGAGGCATGAGTACGACCAAGCATATAATACAGCAAGCAACAAGAAATAACATAAAATACGATTTCTAAATTATTTATACTTGTTGCAAGGTTTTTTAATATATATGCCACCCGCTCGCTCTGTGATTCTCTCTTCCGAAGCTAGCAGCAGCTAAGGGGGGTGGGGGTGGATGGCCGAATGGTTAGCACGTGCGCGTTGCATCATAAGGTCTGTCATTGGGTGCCCAGGTGTACGTGACAAGGAGTAGGGTCGCCTGTCCAACCTCGTGGTTTTCTCCGGGTCCCCCGGTTTCCTCCCACTGTCTAAGCGAATTATTGAAATAAAATTGAACCATATGTTAGTCCCGGAATGACCTAGTTTGTGTCGAGTGGAAATTAAACCCCATATCATGTCCTGTGGTATAATAAATGATATTTAATGTCTATTTATAAACATTTTATATACGAATGATGCAACATCATGTATACAATTAAAACTAGTTCACCGTAGATATCATCAAGTTTTGAGTTGGGTCAGGATATAGACTGATATATATATATATATATATATATATATATATATATATACTGTCATCAAGTTGAGTTGGGTTTATGTACCGTCATGAGGTAGAAGATAATTTGATAGATATTTTATTACATAAAACACTCTTTTCGAGCAGCATGTAAATTATATATTATTGCAACATACTAGGGATATAAAAAATGGAGTAAAGTGAGTGAAAATGTATAAAATGTGGAGGTCAAATACATAACAAGCTGATATATACATTAACCAAGTATGCACAAAAAATAAACTAAAATGAACACAGAGAGAGAGAGAGAGAGAGAGGGTGTGTGTGTGTGTGTGAGAGAGAGAGAGAGAGAGAGAGAGAGCGAGAGAGTGTGTGTGTGTGTGTGAGAGAGAGAGAGAGAGAGAGAGAGAGAGAGATGAAAAGTAGCATTAATTCCAACCTCATCATCTCTTGGTACGGACCTGGTTTGAATAAAACTTGAGGAGAACAAAAAGGGTTTGACCCAGATCTAAGAAGTCGAGTCATTTTATGGCTAGTGCAGATTCAGGATTATATATTTCACTTCCTGACTGGAAGGATGTGTTAAAATACAGACCCATCTTTGTTTGCTAATTTCGACACAAACTAGGTCATTTCGGGACTAACATGTGATTCAATTTTATTTCAATAATTCGCTTGTGCGTAGGGGTCTTAGCAGTAGGGGGAAACCGGAGGACCCGGAGAAAACCCACGAGGTGAGAAAGGCAACCCTACCCCTTGCCACGTACAGCCAGAGAATCGAAACCACGCCAGTTGACTCAATGACAGACCTTATGATTCTGCCCCCCCCCCATTCCTATACGACAAGTTAAAGACCACTAGAGGAAGCTAACGCCAACGTTAACGGCCGTCGATGAATTTTCTCTAAGTAAAGCCTAGCTTACAACACGTCGTACGTCCTACTACGGGCAGTCTACGGAGGAAATCTTTAGTAAACCCGTACGTAGACCTACGCGCCACTTGCACCGTAAAAGATCGCAGACTGGCCGTAGGTTTCTTGCTGTTGATCTGCGAGCCACCAAACCATACGACCCGTGCGTGTCAAAACATGTACGGCGGATTGTGAGCTAAGCTTAAGAGACCTTCCTACAAACCGTCCTGGCAAAATAAATTTTAGCTCCCACTTACAGATTGTCGATAATCGCAAACGACAAATAATCAGCGTGTGTATGCTGGACTTGACTATTAGACAGCATCACTGTATGACCAAATTGTAATTGTGTAATGATGATGGGGTTCATGTGGTAATTACTTTTCTAACCACGCTAGGACCCAAGGTGTAACGAGAGTTTATTGTCCCAGTACCTGACAGGAAGCAGACGTTCATTTGATTGAATTTCTTCAAAAGGCTAAAGTCAGACCATCAATATATTGGACGTAATTAGTTTCCGCCGTGAAGGAAACATTTTTCGTGTCTAGTAATATTTTAAAATATATGATTAGAATATATTCCTGACTATACATGCCAAGATTCAATGATACGATTCGTCCCCTTCAAACTCTATAACACAATCTAATGTTATATAAAACAACAATATTCAAGTCTTCATTCTTCAAATCATGGAATTAAGCAATTTAAAACATAATGTTTCTATAAAAGACTCATGATCTTTGGGGAGAGAGAGATAGAGAGAGAGGGGGAGAGAGAGAGGGGGGCGGGGGTAGATTTCAAGCTATGTCCAGATTTTTATGACCAAACTTTATAGCTACAGATGGTTTATATTTACTTCTTAGCGGCCTTGACAAAAACTGAGCTGGCCTTAACAAATGAAGAGCCTAGAGGAAGAACGATCTAAGTCACATTTTTGTCTTTTCGCATAAAAGGCAAAACAGACTTTTGGACGAGAATGCTTGACGCGAACAAAACAACAAGTGGGTTTAATTACAACTTCAAAATGATGTTTAATGCGAATCATAATTAACAGTACAACAACTGACTTCCACTTTTCAGCCAAATTAAGGTCAAATAAATACGATGGACTTGTATTTGTCCGGGGGGGGGGGGGGGCATTTCAGAAGGGCCTTGGTTCGATGTAACTCCGATCGTTTTACCTGAAATTGATTGTTCCACAGAAAGCTTATACAATTTGCTACCAGATGGCGCCATTAGCTGGGGTTCATTGAAAAAGTGACTTAGATCTTTCTTCCCCGGGGCTCTTCAACTAGATTTAGCCATTAATAGTGTGTAAATGTTTGATGGATACAGACCAGTAATAATATGTTCTATTATTTATACTGGTAGAATTTAATGTATTCGGAGTCGCGGTGGCTAAGTGAGTAAGACGCTGGCCCGCTAGCCTGGATGTCGCGGGTCGCTCACGGTCTTGGCCGAGAAATGTTGTACAGGACACGTGGGGGAGGGCTGACAAAGGCAACTGTCTAGTCGTTCGGATCGGGCGAAAAATGGAGGTCCCGTGTAAACATTGGCGTGCACTTAAAAGATACGTTGACAGTTGGAATTTGACATGAGAGTAGACCGTAGCGCCGCTGTCGGTCTTAATTTCCTTGATAGCTCACTTAATGGCGTATTTCCGTCTTCATTACCCCCATTTTATTATGTTTAACATATTGACTGAAAGTAGACACCGACTGATGGCTACACACCATAAATAACATGTTAAACACACTGACTAATAACACCCATACAATAAAAACAACACTATACACTTTAGTATCAATTAACATATTTTGTCTACGTTATAACTAAGTTGTAGTAGATTCCACAATCTATTTATCTCAGACGCGTCTGTTTATCTTTAAGCCCATTTGTTTTTAAACCGGGTGATGAGTGGAACATTTCCAATTATTAAAGATACATTATTGCAGGTTTTTTTGGTGTCAAATTTGTTTTTAGACATTTATTCACACAAGTCCATAAAAAACTCTCTAAACCATCGGGTGGGCGAAATTTAAATAAATTTAAACACCTGCAAGATTTAAAAATTTAACGAAAAAGTGGATAATCGATATGTTGTCGCCGCGGTTATCAAGTTCCATTGCTACGATAACAAACGATCTTCGCTATTTCTTCAAATAATCAGCTGATTAATTACGTCACTATTCTACTTACGTCATTTCTTTTCTTAGAACTGAATAGGGTATCATTTGAGCAAATCCCCTATTAGACTACAAGGGGACAGTCGAATTGAGCGTTCCAGAGTTGATGTCTCGCAATCCCAGAAATAGTGTCAATCAATATTCTTTGTGTTTAATTACGTCACGATTCTACTCACGCCACTTCATTCGTTGTAATTGACTGAATTCCGCGTCACTCGATTGCCTTTCTGTCAACTTGGAACGTTCGGGACTGACAATCGAGCACCCCCTGGACCAACCATAACTTCCTGTGCACGTAGCGAATAGGTTATAAAATGAGTGTTTAGAAGACAAGTTTAGACGTCACGTGTGTTCTATTCGCCAATCAAACGTGGTTTATGTTTTTACAGCCAACTCTTGAGAGAGAGAGAGAGAGAGAGAGAGAGAGAGAGAGGCCATTTCGGGACTAACACATGTTTCAGTTTTATTTGAATAATTTGTTTATTTCATTCTGGTATATCATTAATCAATTAAAGATAAATCGGCCTATTGCATGTCATTTTTCTTGGGGGGCGGGGCTCTATTCAAGGGTTCCTTTATATGAACGCCTATGTTTACAAGGGATCGCCCTGTAACAACGACTAGACAAATCTCTATATTTTTCGACTGATCCGAACGACTATACATGGTCCCTTGCCACATGTTTACAAGGGATCGCCCTGTGCCAACGACTAGACAAAGCTCTCTGTTTTTCGTCCCATCCGAACGACTATACGTGGTCCCTTGCCCCCCCCCTCCACCCCACCCCGTCCCCCACCACTGACAAGGGTGGATCACACGGGACCCTAAAGTTAGCGAGTTAACGTCTTACTGGCCGAGCCACCACGATTCCTTTTAATTGTATTCAGTGAAATATTAGATTGTGTGAGTATATCCCTTGTCAGCAGTTTATTACTAATCGACCTAATTACTCGGTGTATATACGTTTAGCCCAAGGGATCCGTTGTATTTAGCTAAAGATGAATCGACTCAGTCAACCGACCAGCTTAATGTAACAATAGAATTTATTAACTTATATTAAAGGAAATTATTGGTGCCAGTCATTATCACATATGTAATAGAACTGGTTAAACACGTTCCAAATATTATTTTAACACATCGATCATTACTACGATACTCTTACAGTCAGTCTCATA